GTGAAAACTGCATTTCAATAGCTATTCTCATTCTCGAGTTATTCAAAAAAACAGTCGAATCTATTCTATTTTGAAATGAACAATAGTTACATAAAATCCAAATAGGAGCAAATCTAATTACCGCATATCCTGGCGTGACCTATGTCCCTCGAGTTTATTTTATCGAATAAACTTTATTCAATGCTTTCAGAAATGTATGACGTTATCTGATCATACACATTACTGCAGACAAACATACTTATATACGAAATTATTTATTTTTTGCCGTATAAGTCTCTCTTTAGTTGAGAATCTTATTATTCTGAAAAGGTTTTCTTTGACGAAAAAAAATCGAACTCAAAATTTTGAATGAAAGCCCTCATTATCGACCGAGATTTATTGATCGCGCCTACCTTTAGTCAAACGTAAGGGAAAAAACTTCTATTTATATGAATATAACCGTACACGTGACGGCGAACAAATACAGAGACACATTTTATTTCATACAACCCTATCTTTAATCAAAACGATCGAATTACCAGAGATCGAGGCGAACTGAACCGTATCGTATCCTTTCTGTTTGATTGGTTCAAGTTCGACTCGAATCAATCAAAATAGTTAAAATTAGTTGTAGCTTAGCATTCTAACTATTGACTTTCACTAATTTTGATTACCTTTTTATTGGTCACTTGTTTCAGACAGTCGAGAGCAAATGGCTAAATATATAAAATGACTATTCGAAACTTAAAAGCGAGATACATCCGAATCGAACAGCGATCATCTGGTTTGGATTCAGTTCAGTTTGACTCATGTTTCAAAACATCGGTTCGGGTTTGCTTTATTTTCGGTCTCTGTGATTAACACAAAATCATCCAAAAAGCCAACTTCAAGTATCAGTCCTTGACCTCGATAACCTATCTCAAATTTATTTTGAAAGGATCAAAAATCGAAAAATAAACGCCTCCATTCTGATTGGTTCAGTTTCCAGCCAATGAAATATCGAACTGAAAAGTCAACCTGAGATATTCGGATTGTTTTCATCCTTGATAACCTATACCAAAGTTTCGTGAAAAAAAAAGATCGAAAAGCTTTAAAATAAAATAACTCGTTCTTTATTGGTTCAGTTTCTGTTCTATGAAAGCTAGAATAAAAAAAAAACTAACCACAGATTTAGATTCGTGACCTCGGATTACTTTTAGTCAAATTTATAAATTACATTTTCAGCTTTGCATGTGTATACGTGACTTTACATGTGACTACAAACATACAAGCAATTATGATATAACCTTAATTCATTAAAATAGCTAGCCATTGTGATATATTCACAATCATGGAATATGTCCTCCAATTTGAATTCTCTTTTTTTTTTAATTCTTTATCTATATAAGATATTTTACTTTCCTCAAACATCGATTATATTTTAACAAAATCGAATCATTCGAATGTAGTTATCATTTATCACTGACCTATAATGCATATAGTTGAAGTCGGGAAGAAAATAGCAAAACGATCAGTGTGCAAAAAGCCTTTTTCATAGATGTGTCGATGGTTGAATACATGGTATATATCTTCAACATTGCATAAACAGATCATTCGCAACGATCCAATCCAATATTGATAGACATCGCCGTATTTTGCTTGCATTTGCAGATTGATAGTGGTCCATGAAATTTCAGATATCGGACCCGTCTGTAACAGATTTCCAAATAAAAATTGAGGCGATTTTCCAGGCACAGGACCACGCAAGGTAAAATATTTTAGTTTGATATAAATAACCAATATAATCAGCAGTCCAATGAGGAGAACAAGAAACATCGCCATGATACACGTGTAGAATGCAAAAAATACTCTGTTTTGTGCACTCTAAAAAATCAAGACACATGAAGCGTATAAATAAGACGATTCGTTCGTCTAAACAAGACACTTAGCGCTATTTCTGATTGGTTGGTTAAAGACTAATTTAGACACTTCAAGTGTCCGCGGATAACCGATTTGGAACACTTGAGCGTCTTAATCGATCCTGATGGGACTGTTTACACCAATCCATTTCAGCGTCTTAGTACTGTCTTTTTTAGACACTTCAGCTATCTATGACTTCTTGGCTCTGAAAAAACATATTATTTAAATATTTTACCTCATGAAGAATATTTTTCAATGAGCAAATTTTATAAATTTCATCTTCAGTCTGAGCAAATAAAATTTATAAAAATTTTTAAAAAATTCTGTAATTTATTTTTCTTTTCAAATGTCAACCAAAATAGCAAACTCTCTAACATAATACATTATCAAAAATTTTTTTTAAAAATTAAATATACCTAGTTTGCAATTTTGGCTGATATTTAAAAAGAAAAATAAGTTACGGAATTTTTAAATTTTTTTTATAAGTTTTAATATGCTCTGATTGAAGATGAAATTTATAAAATTCGCTCATTGAAAATATTCTTCATAATGTGAAATATTTAAATAATACGTTTTATCCAGAGCCAAGCAGTGTTTCTAATAGAAATCTAAAACAAAAATTCAAATGACATTTTATTTTTGCCATCAAAGTGTAAAACGACACTGTTTTTTTAGACAAAGTGTCACAGAGTGTCCAAGATGTGGATCATTAGAATTAGATTAAAAAAGAGAAATATTTCATATGTTTTTATTAATATTGGATTCGAATCAAATACATACAAAAAATACTATATAATCACGTCAGATAAACAAATAAATTATCCACTATTTCATACATGAGTTATAAAAAGAATGAAAAAGCAATCAAACGAAAAAAAACATTATTTTACTATACAATAACAAAAAAAAACAATTTTATATTTACTCAGTCATTAACATCTTCACTTTCATATTCTTCTTCAGTATGCATGTCCTTATGGTCATTGCAAAACCACATAAGATCAATTGATATACCAAGTTTAATGCGACAACTATTGCACAGCCACCGGGAACAGTTCTCAAATGAATCCACCCAGTCAAATTCGTCGTTTTGATAACAGCATTGGATTGCTTCATTTTGTGCGGGATCATCTGCTGAAATTTCATTTTTACATCTATTTGCGCCTAGAATAATGAAAAAGAGATTTTGATAACTCAACAATAACTGAAAAACTTACACTTAATTGCCTTCGACTTTGGATTCTTTGGTTTTTTGTTAATTGGTAGGGATGGCATTGACGATCGTTTTCTCTTAGAATCAGTCGATCGGCTTGCTTTCACTGGTTCATAATCAGGTGGTACATCAAGTACTAGCTTAATTTGACGAAAACGACGATGATATTCATTATCATTCCACGATTCGAATGCTCTCTCAATAACCTTTTGGCATCGTGGACTAAATGCAAAAAGATAATACGAGAGTAGTTTCTCATGCTACAGCAATCGACAATTTCACCTTCTCAGATCATCAGGTAATAATAAACACACGTTCATTAGTACATCCAAAGTCGAAATTAATATTCGTGAACGACCAGTCGTTTGGATACGATTGACCGCCGAAAACTAAAGCACATGGATTTTTTAAATATATTGCTATGGGAAAAGTAGATTTACAACTTACGCCTCTTTCACACTCAACCGAATTCGTTGGCATAATCAAATAAATACTCAATAAAGCAAGCAAATTCTTGTTCTCCTCGAGGAATCGGCTATTTGTTGCTTGTTTTAATAATAAAAATTGTTGCCAAAATGTTTCCTTTAAATCAATTGATGAGGGTCTATCCAAAAATTCACTCAATGATGGTTTCAATATTTCCCATTCACTTCGAACAGCATCTGTATCAAGTCCAGGAAAATCTTTATACTTATTTCGAATAAAATCTAATTCTGGTCGTCCATAATCTGGAGAATCAACATCTTTCTTGTGCTCAATCAAGTATATTGGATCGAATAGCATGGTCATACTTTCTAGTAAACGTGATGGAGCAAATCGTTTATCTAATTCTATCAGCAAACGTTCTATATGTGCAGAGCATTCTTTAGCCAATTGTTGTCGATCGGATAAATCAATTTTAAATGCACCATATTTTCTTTTTTCTGTTGTTTTAATAAAATCAGCCAATGCTGATCCCCATGTTGGTGTTGATTGAGATGTCCATTGTGATATTAAATTCTTTTTTTCTTTGATTTCTTTCATAAGACTATAGTATGACAATTTGTCGAATTGCATTAGTTTTGTAATTGGTCCTAATGTGCAAGTTCGGGAAAACTGTAAGCTGAATAATTTGACTTTAGCTTACCAAGAGCACACTCGTGGAGATCGTAATGAAAATGGAGAAGAAATAGAAATTCATCATTCAATACATACTGAAATAATTCTTTTGCTGAACCACGATCACCACTTGAGGAAACTGGATCAGATGCATTCTGTTGGAGGGCTGCTAGTAGTGCTTGATTACCTAGAAAACAAGAATTTCATCAAAAATTTGTGTTAGAATCAATAAGATCTTCGTTACCTGGCTGCACATTTTGGATAATCGGTTTAATACAACCTCTAATAGAAGCCCAACGAATATCATAAATACGTTTAAATTTCAATTCAGGCATATCTAAAAAATTCTGCCATTCTTTTAACATTTGTTGACGAGTTGAACTTCTTCCAAAATAATTATAAATTTTTCCAATAGTTGTTTCTAATTTTGAAACAACTTCAATAATAACTAGTTTACCACTTTCTAAAATTAAATGTTGGAAATAAAGCAATGAAACTACTGCTTCGAAACAAATTTAAAATATTACTAGGATCAGTTGTCCACGATGCTCGATTACCAACCAAACAAAATGAATGTGCAGCACAGGTATTAGTTTCAAGCCAATCTATTTGGAAATGGCGTCGTAGTTTTGCTACTACACCTTCGTTGATTCCTGCAATGAGTAAAAAATTATCAGAATCTATTTGTTTTAGAAGATTTAAAAGCACCTGTAAATGTCGAGACATTGTCACATGCAAACCAACATGAATTCACCGGATTTAAATCATCTTTTCTCCATACATCACTAATTGTTTCAACTATGTTTCTTGCCGTTCCATCACCTTCCATATCCAGCAAAGCATAATATGATGTTTTTGGATGATAATTTTCGAGGTACCGAACATAGACGATGCAACTTTTTTCCACCGTTCGTGATGTCGATTCATCCATCATCCATGCTTAATAAAATGAAAACAATCAGAACAGAAAATCGATAGAAGATCTACAAACCGATTGCGGGACTATTTTTTACTTTTTCGATCAGTTCCTCGTGCACATCATATGCAACATGTTGAAGAAAAGATAAAGCTGCATCGTTATTTCCGTAATTTACTCCAGATATTTGAGATGGTAATAATTGAACGCCTAGTTTTTCAAGTAATATGCACAATTGTTCTAAACTATTTAATGATTGATATTCACGACAAATATAAATTGAAGCAAGAGTTAAATTTTGAACTGCTTGCTCTTGTTTTGAGATCTGTTTTGCTCGTGTTTCAATCCATGTTGGTTGCGTTCGAGTTGAAATTTTTAATTCGGTTTCTTCAGCATGACGGTGAACCTCACTTTTATGCTTGTGTTCTTTTATTTTATAAATTTGAAATATTTGATTTCCTACAGTACACTAAATGTTTTCTTTACCTAAAACAAACGAATAACTTCTATGAAATATATAACATATTTAACTCACCATTTGTATTTCTTCTTTTACCATGTTTTTCACATAGAGAACATCGCATTGCATTGTCCTTCAAATACAACCACGATAAAAAATTTTCTCGTCGTTCACCGAATTGATCGAATACATAAGTTTTATACATAGCATCTGGTTGCTTTTCCCAAACAGAAAGATATTTACGACGAACAACATTACTTGATTTTTTGTTTAACTGCGATTTGTTAGAATTTTCTGGTTGAATCGAAGAAGACATATCATGATTATCAAGAATATTTGATGATGAATATGGAGATTCACTCGAAATAATTACAATTTCATTGACTGGTTCATCAAGCATACATGATGGTATAGATTCGGATGAACATGATGATGCAGAAATATGTTGTTCATTTTAGTGCGATACTAAAATATTCATTGGTGGTTTTGGACTTTTATTCCAAAACTCAATCAATTCGATTTGTTTTTTGTTCATTTAACCTAAAAAAAGTAGTGACTAATTTCAGAAGAGCTGAGAAAAAGAAATAGTATCATACTTACGAATTCTATGTTTAAAAATCAATGGTTACGAGACAGTAATGTACATATATTGTCGAAAAAACCAGAGCAAAGACAATACAACAACAATAACAATAATTGATAAATTCAAATAATAGTAACAACAATTGATAAATTCATATACCGATGACAACAATCGGTAGATTTAAATAATAATAACAATAACAATAGATGAATTTAAATAACAATAACAACAATTGATAAAGTTTAATAATAGTAATAACGATTGATAAATCTTAATATTGTAACAATAATGGACAAATTCAAATAACAATAGTAACAATTGATAAATTTTAATATAGTAAGAACAATTGATAAATTCAAATAACAATAACAGCAATCGATAAATTTAAATAATAATAACAACAACAATAGATGAATTCAAATAATAATAACAACAATTGATAAATTCAAATAATTGTAACAACAATTGATAAATTTTAATAATTGTAACAACAATCGATAAATTTTGATATAGGGACCACAATTGATAAATTCGAAAAACAATAACAACAATCGATAAATTTGAATAATAGTAATAAGAACAATGGATAAATTCAGAAATGCGTTCACGAATAATACGATTAATCTGAAGATGTCAGAACATGAAATACATCCAGATTAATAAAAAAATTAAGGAGTCCAAAGTTTACATACAATGAATGGAAAAATAAAAAAATTTTCAGCAAGTGTCAACTTGACACTTTGTTTTCATGAGTAAAGTGTAAAATAGAGTGTCAAATCAATATCGCAAGGGTCTTGGACACTTTGATATCATGGTGGACCCTTGCTGTTAAAAACACTGGAGCCAAGAAGGCATAGATAGCTCCAGTAGCTGAAAACGTTTCTAATAAATAAATATTTATATTTGATCTATTCTATTATATTTAATAACTAATTTTAAATGTTATTTTATATCAATTTTTTAGTTCATTTGAATGATGAACTTTGTTTTGAGACGACGAATTTATAATAGCTTGATATGAAACAATTTGCAAGTTTACCATCTGAAAAAAACACCATAGTCTTGTGTTATAAATAAAAAAGATCTTCAGTTTCATCAATATCTATATATTTGTAAAACCATTTCAGACTTAATGCAAGATCAAAACAAAAAGAGCGCAAAAACAAACAAATATTTCATCTTAATAAAATAAAAAACGAATGTTTCATCTTAATACAATAAAAAACATGTTTCATCTTAATATAATAGAAAACAAATATATCATCTCAATATAATATAAAACAAATATATCATCTTAATATAAAATAAAACAAAAATATAAATCTAATTGAAGTCATACCTGCATATGGTTAATTACTATTTCCTTTTGAGTTTTCAATAAGCATTAAAAGTAATTTATGAGTAGGCCAATGATTGAGATTCATATATACAATAACAAGAAATGCTAATATTTTATGTAGACCGGTAATACCAATATGAATATACATTTTATATGGCAAGTTTTTTATAAACATAAAGGCTTTTTCAACACCTGATTTAGCAGATGGTACCATTAGAACTCCAATTTGAGGATGAAAATCAGATAATCCATTCTAAATAGACAAGAATCAAAAGTATAGTTTAAAAGATTGTAATTATTTTACTTTAAAAATTATATTTGATTCATCAAGATCATTACATAATTTTTGTATCGCTTGAAAATCTCTTTCAGTCAGCTGCATTGAAAAAGTTATTGAAAATAATCTGATTAATGTAACAAAGATACTTACAAAATGTTCATTTGAAATTGAATATTTACGAATATGTATATCAAGTAATGTACGAGCTTCATGTTCAAGTTTTTCATATGAAAATAATTTATTTTTTATCAATGAATATTCATAAATCAACTGAAACAGAAATTGAAATGATCATAAATTATTTAGTTAACTTGAAGCAACGTGAAAAACAACAAGAATAATGAAAAGAGACGAGTAATGCAGACAAAGAATACAAAAACACAAAAAACGCTTGTGAAGAAAAAAAAATTTACTTACTGCTTCTTGGTGAAATATCTCTTGATGTTGAACAACTTTCAAACTAAATTCTGCATCTTTCTTTTCTAACAACATTTGTCGTCTTAATTTGTGAGTGCTTCGGAGAAGTACATTGATTTCCGTGATCGATATATTTTGTGAAGCTCTACCTTTTGGTTTCACGATAAATCGAAGACGATGTATGTCTCTATCATATGCATCTTGTTCAGATTTTGATATCTTGAAATGCCACATAGATTCATCATTTGACAAAGTTACACGTTCATCAACATTATCGTTTGAAATTGCTATAAAAGAAGATTCTTTATTGAAAAAGAAATTAAGAAACTCACTGAAAGTATGATTTGAGTCTTGGTTAGTTGCTGTTGATGTTGTATTTTTTGATGTTGCTGGAATACTATTACTCATTTTTTTCGCTGCTAAAATACAATGAATTCGGAAATACTCATAAATAAATTAGATTTTGTTTCATCGCAATATCTCGTGGTAATAAAGCTTTATGCACGGCCACAACCGGTTGTGCTGGTACTGAAAATATTAAGAAATATTAGATTTGCATGGCATATAAATGCGTTTTATAATTTAACATTCGACAGAACTTAATATTGATGCCTTGGGAAGATACTTGAAAGCTTTTGACACCTAATGGCATTCAATATAGGTAAGAAACTTCTAATAGTTTAACCTCATGAAGCTCTATCTGTCTCTGGTTTTTATTTATTTGGAGTGGAAGTCGCTGAAAGCTAAAGACAATTTTTGAAGTTCTACAAAGGCTTCCAAACTGATCTTTCATGGCTGACTAAACCGTTTCTCTATGCTTTGAGTAATTCTTCAAAAAATCCAATTCTCTGATTGAAAGTTATAAAACACGTGTGATGATTATTTCTCTGGAAGACTGACATTTTCTTTTACTGGTAACAATTTTATATAATAAATTTTCAAGATATATAAAGTGAACTAAAGAGGATACTTTCTCTTTGAAAGATAATTCATATAAAAGAAAATTTTTCTGAAGTGAATTATAGTGATTCATGACAGGAGGAACGGAAAGGACTATTTTTTTCTCGCTTAAGCTGTCTGAAATTCATCTATTCTTTCTGTTTGAACAATATTGACTATTCATCTTATCTATACGATAGAAATAGTTACCTGATGTTAAAAGCATACGACCATCGTGATATAAAAAGGTATTTGTTGAAGTTGTTGTCAAAGGTAATTTATTCGGTACAGGTGTTGTATTAATTGTTGATACATTAACAAGTCGCGTACTTATTGGAGGTATTAATGAAATCGTTGCACGTCGAGAACTATTTGGACTTATTGATGATTCATTGGATGTTGTTATTGTTGTTGCTCCTGTAGAGGATTGTTCTTAATAAGAAAATATTAAATTAAATTGTTTACAATAATGTATTTGTTGATTGTAGCTAAGGTAACTCACGAATTATATTAGGTGGTGATACTAATGGTTCTGTTGTTCCGGATTCAATCAATACATTGTTGGAATTCGACGAGGTTGTAATGGACATATTTATAAAAAAAAGGCAATCGGTTTATATCAAAATAATCTGACAAAAACTTACTTTTATCATAAGAAATAATTACTGTTTCATTTTCACATTCTTCAGTTTGTGATCTTTCGATCACCAATTGTTCACATGCTTCAACATTTGTATTTGGTTCGATTGTTGATAATTTTGAACGTTTTGATAGTGGATGATTTTTATAGTATTTTATATTTCTTTTTTTTTCGAGACAGCATTTGTGAGATTGTATGCTACAAATATAGAAATATTGTTTTTATGCACAAATTTTCAAATCGCCACATATATACAAATGTGGAAAAAACTTACTTGTGGTGCTCGACCCATCTTACCATCGACATCTTTATTTAAATAATTTAATATTGGAAATTTTTCAGTAAGTGCTAAAACAAAAGAATAATGAAGAGATTTCGATGATGAGTTTGAGTATTTTTGAAGAAAATGTGTTCCTGTTTGATCCAAGAAAACTTTTTGTATCGAAGGAAAAGACTCTAAAATATAAAAGAACGATTATGATCGAAGAATTCATTTTTCTAACCGTGTGATTGTAATCCTTGTAGAATTATATCACAATATGTTGGTAATACCATTGGTTTATCGATTTGATCCTAAAAAAGAAAAAAAATGATAAAAAATTAGTCTAAAAAAAGCAAAGACTTACATCATGTTCATTTTCTTTTTTCTTTCGATTTCGTTGTGGATGAGGTTTTTTAACGTAATTCTTTTCTTTTTGTTTTCCGACATTGTTTACACTTGAAGGTGAAGAAGCATCAGCAGCAACATCGTTTAATTTTTTGAAAGATTTAAAAATCATCTTTACACCGTTAGGTTGATCTTGTATTTGATCAAAAGATGTAAAATCGAAAAAATCACTCAGTTCATGATCATAGAATAAAACTGTGGAATCATTTTCATCAGGAAATAAAAGTCGAATTTTCTTAATAATCGTTTCATAATCATTGCCAATGATGATTGTCTTTCGATCATGATATTCGAAAATAATTTTCATCTATAGAGAAAAAAAGTAATCATGTTTTTTAGATAAAATATGCATTGCTACATTTGCAAAATAGATTTCAAGACTTTATCGGCTTATGTAAAGCATCAACGTGATCTGCATAGCCATAATAAACATATCAAGCTCATTTGTACATGTGGAGGTTCTTTTAGTACTCTTTGAAGTCTTCAAGCTCAGTAAGATTTCGTTTTTCTTTTATTTTCAAAGCCTATGAATTTCTGAATTCTAGCTGGTCTCGTTTTCACAAAGCTGAAGAACGTCCTGAAGATATTGAAAATGAAAATGATAACGTAGAGAGAAGCCAAGCAACCGTCGAGGAAGATCATGAATACGAAGACAATGCAACAGATAAACATATGGGAGACAATAAATTCAATTATAGTTCTATCGAGGAAGATTTAAGTGAAGAAGAACAAATAAAAATGTTTGAAAAACGCATTCTTTATATGGTGCTAACTCTTCAAACAGTATATTATACATCAGAAGCAGCAGTTCAATTCGTCGTCTCAAGTTTGATGGAATTATTCCTAGAAGTTTCAACGAATAAATTCGTATAAGATTCATAGAATTTGAACTTAAAATAGTAGTTGTCTTTCATTCTCGCAGGATGTTAAAATTTTAGGTGTATCTTTGGAAAAACTAAAATCAAGTCATATTCGAAAAAAAAAGCTACAGAATATTTTCGATACATCGAACCTATAAGCCGTTCCTATCAAGTATGTTGTTAAATAATAATTGCAAAAGTTTTAAAAAAATTCGAATATCATTTTGTTTTTCTTCAGACAACTACAAATAAAAAGGCGACCAAGATTGTCAAGTATGCCTATGTGCCTTTTATACAAAGCTTGAAAAATTACTTGGAACTGCCGAAAATGCAAGCTGATCTTAATCGTATTTTACCTGATTACGATCCGAATTGTATTCAAGATACATATGATGGGATGTTCGCCAGACATCATTCAAATTTCCACAAGTCAACATATTTAAAAATCGAACTCAGCTCGGATGATTTAACAATTACGAATCCTGTATCTCATCGTGCTCATTCAATTTTCTTTTTCTATTGGTCACTGTTAAATGTTGCACGAGAAAAGCGATCTAGACAGGTGGCTAAAAGACTTGTTGCTGTTTGTCCTAAATGGGCAAGAAAATATAATTCATTATGTCATACGATGGATGATTTTTTGTCGGGGATATGTCAACTTTCTACTACCGGTAGTATGAAAACTAAGAACGAAAAGATTATACATTTTTCTTTAAAATAGGTATTACAGTGAATATAAATGGCACCGATATAACTTATTACGGTGGCTTATTCTTATCATTAGGCGACTATCCAGCTCAGATGTCTTTAAATGGTTTTAAAGAAACTGTTTCTACGATTCATTTTTGTCATCTTTGTGACATCCACAAGAGGGAAACGGCGGATTCCGGATTCCCGGAATTCCCGGAATTCCCAAGATTCCCATGGGATTCCCGAGATTCCCATGGGATTCCCGAGATTCC